TGGCTACTGCTTCATTGCTGCCTAGCATGTTAAGAATAACTTTGTTCTCAACCAGCAAATCCACATCATCCACAGTGTCCACCAGCTGATCCATAAGCAAAAAGTAATTGCAGATATAAGGTTTGTCTGGGTACAAAAACTGCTCCAAGGCCATGATGTTCCGAACAATGCATTCTGTCTCATCCTTGACACAAAATTGCGTAAGCTTCAAGTCCATATTTCTAAAACATGCCAAGTTGAACTTACATTTAGTGGCCTCATCTTTTTCTATGATAAAGTGACCTTCTTTAACTGGCCTAAATTTCACCCCTGATGCCCTCAGCTTCCTTGCAGCATATATATTTTTTGTAGGAGTACTACTATGTTCAAAATCCATTTCTTTGTCAGGACGTAGAAAATGCCTAACCAAATCAGTGAAATGTTTCGGTCTTACTCCATTCTTGACGGATTTTCCCCTACTATAATCTTTGAAGAACTCATAGGTAAGCTTAAGCAGGGGATCATCATTATCAGGTTCGACTTGGACAATCTCTATGGAATGATCCTTGGAAGGAATCCACCAGCAGCAAGGCAAGCAATGCCGGCAGCAAGGCGAGCAGTGCGGCAAGTCATGATTGGTACTGCTCTGTCTATCAGCCTGTTCTTGTACTTCTTTCCAAGGTTGGAAATTGGAAGAGGGAGGCACAGCAAAGTTCTGATATAGTTCTTGAAGAAGAGAATAAGGAAGCTGATTTTCAAACAGTATCAAGTCCTGCTCTACAGCTTTCCTCAGCCATGGTGATCTCAATATATAATCATTTTCATGATTTTCTGGTTCGCAAAAGTTCATTAAAAATAGCTCAATGATGAAGCACGCATCAACCACAATTATGTCTTCAAAGTTTTTGTTAAGCTCAATGGTCCCTGCGTAACAACGAAGAATATTTTCTTGGCGAGTCTTGATGAATTGCTTTAGTTCATCGTCATTCTTGTTAAAACGTGCAAGAAAATTCTCATAATATATCTTTTTATGGGTCTCCATGTCCTTGAGTTCTGGTTTGCCATGGTGGAAAGGGCCTATTGATAGTAATTGAGGAGTGTATGCTGCTTCATTTACTCTGCGGAGTTTGCTGGGAACCCTATAGATACACCACTTGTCTGGCTTTTCCAAGACTCGTACCGGGCGTTCATCTTCATTCTCTGTTTTCTCAGTGATTCCTGACTTAATTTTTCTCCTTTTGAAAATGGAACTACAATCAGTATGAAAGGAATTGACAGTGTTGAACCTAATTTCAGTGGCAGCACTAGAACAACATTTAGCTGTAACAATTGTTCTATTAGCACAAGTCATAAGAATTTCAACTCTGATAGATTATTCATAGTTGTATTAGAGCGATGCCTTGGCACTCCAAAATCACCCTTAAATAACCTCACGCACTTATATGTTAGGGTAAAAAAGTTTGAGAATTTTTTTTTCTTTTTGCTGGAAAAGTTCAAGAAGTTGGGAGTATATATTTGGTCATAATTTGTAATTTTATCAAATTTATATTCATGTGTACCTTCGCGTCGTGCAATAATCTTGGCTTGCAGTCCTTTTGAAAGTTGCACTGCCGCAAACAAGGGGCCTGATAGTATAAGAGAAAAAGTTCAGAATATATAAGTGGATGACGTATATCCTAGTAACTATTGAAATGTCATCCAACTTAAATCATAGTATTAGTAAGTGCTCTATTGAATTATCTCAAAATCGTTTGAATACTCGTATTTCACTTTATTACCCTGAAGTTTGCTGATTTTCAAACTTCAGTACACAAATTTTTTGTCGTCCCACTTTTGTACATAAAGTTAAATTTCCTTCTATTTTCATACCCACCGTCAATCTATTATATAAAAACTTGTTAATTAGTGATATGACAGTAGATGGACCCGTAAGTTATTTAATAATAATAATAATTATTATTATTATTATAAAACTATAAATCTATTGAAACAATTTATAAAATAAAATAAATATTGAACAACTCTCACTCTCTTCGAAATAACCATTTATTATTGGGTATGAAAGTTTTAATTTGACTCGCACATCCTCGCCGGAATCCCTAATTTTTGTAATTGGGTTAACACCCCACCATCCTCCCTAGTCTCTGTTCTTTTTCCTGACGGTTTTATTTATTTATTCTGGGTTTGATTAATCTGTTTATTGATTTATTTTTTATTTGGGTAATTCAAAGAGAGAGAGATAAAGATGGAGAAATATCAATTCCTCTTCTTCACTTCTTGAGTTATTTGTTTGCGTGAGCCATAATTCAAGGACCCTGCGATCCTTGATTTGCTGGTGTAATTCACATTACCTAGTTAGGATTTCTTGTAGTTAGTTAATTACTATTCATTATAAGAAAAGTCAACTTGTACTTGTATATATATATTCTCTTGAAAAAATATAATATCAATCACAATTATTTATAATTATGTGTTTAATTTGAGTTTATTTTCCCAGAATTTTCTCCATCTAAACTAAGTAATTTTTAGATCTGAAATTTTTTTGGAATCATGGTGGAACTTAAAAATTGATTATTCGGATTATGACATACATATATATGATGCACCTGAAAAAAAAAATTGGCTGCCCATTTCTCTTTTTCCCAAAACAGCTTATGGTGAAATGAAAGTCATACCCGCTGAGACCAAGACACATAGAGAAGGGAGGATTTGAACTCTTGTCGTCCGCACTCTCGTCAACCATCATCTTTTTTGTCCCTTGCTTTCAATCTATTTCTGGCCATTGTTAGAGATTCAAAGATTTAAATAAGATGAATAATAAAGATGCAAAATCCATATCTATATCAACTTTACCTTTGTGATGAATATTTGTTTTCAAATGAAAACAGAAACAAGAGTGAGAAAATGAAATATACAATAATAATATTACTCTCACACTGACTTCAAAACCGAAACTGAAATTCTATATTGTTCATCGGCCAAAACCTGCAACTAGAAACACAACTTAGCAAATAATTAACTGAAGATAGAAGATTTTAAGAACCTGCCGCAAGTTTCATCTCCCAGTTGTCTGATGTGGTTCTTGGGTCGACCACAAGAGATACTTGTGTGGTTCAGCTAACCAGATCGAATAGGGGACGACCTTTACATTGATCCAAGTCAACAAAGTCTTGCTTCCGCTGTGGGAAGGTTTAAACTTTTGTACGAATTCCATCCGCATTCATCCAATTCCATCCACATCCCGTTAAATAATTCCAAACATTCCCAAAAAAACTTTTTGGACACCCATTAAGGTTTCATCCCATTAGTTAAAAAGTTAAAAACCAAAAAAATAGTTTGGAAAAATAAGGATTACTCAAGGCTTCCCTCCTCCCCCACCCCCGCAAACTCAGACACCCTTCTTGTCGTTAACCTTCCCATCAATGGCAGACCAAATTCATGGTGAAACCCCTGCACCCCATTATTATGAATAAATAGGGCTAATGTCAAAAGACACCTTAAAGGTTTGGGGTCATTCTCGATATAGCCCTCGAGTTTCAATTTCATCCATTTACACCCCATAGTTTTCAAATTCGACTAATTTAAGCCTTCCGTTCAGTTCATCGATTGATCGTTAACTGATGATGTGTCCACTATAGGACCCACCAATCTCTGTAAAAAAAAAAAATTATTTATTACAATACAATAAAATAAAATAAAATAAGAAACCTCCCTCTCGTCTTCGTCCCCTTCTTATCCATGCCAGGCAAGTTGGGAGTTCTTGATATCCACTCTCCAACTTGAGAGGGAGTGTTGGAAAGTAAACAATATCCGATTCTACGAGAACTAGAATAGGAAAAACTTCTCTATAATTGTTTGACTTTTCCTAGAATTGCTGTACAATTCTTTTCCTAGTTAGATTCTGTATATTTCCCTAGTTAGGTTTGCATTCTCCCTGTATAAGTATATTGTATAATCAATAGAATTATTAATTCCGGCATAATATGTTTCTATACCAATTTTACAGCTTAGTCCATTAGTTTACACTATACTACAGATGATCAATTCTATAACTAAATTACTAAGAATGGATGGATTGATGGATGCATCAGATTCTGAATTTAAGAAATATATATCATATACTTGTTGAGATGCTTAATTTGTGTTTTAATGTAATGACGTTTAATTCCTTCACTAATCAATATCATCTACGTAGAGTAGAGTTTTATGATCTATTTCCATTCAAAGAATATTGAAGATATATATGATCAGATAGAAAAAGAAAAAGGAAAAAAAAAGAAAAAAAACAGAAAGTAATTTTTCTCTCATACGGATTGGATTAAGCAAGGAAAAAACACGTCATCGCATATGGCGGTCCGGTGGGTTGGATTTGGAACACATGCTGAAAAGACCATTGCTGGGTTCAAAATTTCAAATAGAAAACTGTCTTCTTATTTTTTTTGTTTTTTTGTTTGTTTTTAAAGAACAGTCCAAAAAAAGGAGTTTTTGTTGATATGTCACCTAAACTTATACCTAAGTTTCAATTTGTCACATTAAAGAAAATTTTAAGAGAAATATCAACTAAACTTTTCAAAATCCATGATTTCTCATCTGACTTTAACACCATCCAATTTTCCATCCATTTTTATGATTTCCTTTTTCAAGTAAAAAATAATTAGAAATTTTTTTTTGGGGGCCCTAGCCATGACTTTTCCTTGTCTCATTAGAAAATACTTCAAACCAGAAAAAAAAAGAAAAAAGAAAAAATGCAAAGTAATTCTTAATATGGCATGTTAACGTTCAAAATAGAATTATCTTAATCTGTTTATATAGAGAATAATTTGTGGAATCAATCTTGAGGAATGATGTTAATTGCTTAAGATCAAAGCAATGCAACTGTTCACTTATTGGAAATATTTTCATTACAAAGCTATAAAAGTGTTCTAGAGAGTTCAAATTATTAAAGCTATAACACGAGTTACCCAGCCCACCACTTGACCTAATTATTTAAAATAATAATCAGACTAGAAACCTATCAAGCTTTATGACATGAGAGACTTAATGGTTCCAATGATGGAGAATACCAGCACAAAGAGTCCAAGAATAGTTGAACTGCCCGTCCAAAGATCCTTGAAGTAAACTCGTTTCAGGATCGAAATGTTACGGTTGCAGAAGCTGATCTCGTAGTGCTTGTTAAGCTGTTTACAGATGTCTGTATAGCAGGATCTACTGTCCATAATCTGCTCACAAAGTGAATTAATCAGTTTCGCCACTGCGTCGCTGCTGCATAGCAAGTTAACTATAACTTCGCTTTCAATCAGCACATTCACATCGTCCACAGTATCCACAAGCTGATCCAGCATCAAAAGTAACTGCAAACATACGCCTTCTTTGGATACATAAGCTGCTCCAAGGCCATCACGTTTCGAATAACGCATTCTACCTCATACCTTGCCCAAAATTTTGTAAGCTTCAAGTTCATATTTCTAAAACATGCCATTTTGAAATTACATTTGTGGTCCTCGCCTCCTTTTATGACGTAACGTTCACTACCTTCATTTGGCCCAAACTTCACCCCTGCTTCCTTCAACTTTCTTACGTCGTATATACTTGGGATGCAGTCGCCATTTCCTACCCAAGTCATTTTTTCGGTTGGCCACAAAAAATATCTTACCAAGTCAGTGAAATGTTTCACTTGTACTCCATTCTCAATGGGTTGTGACTTCGTGTATTCCCTAAAGAACTCACAAGTAAGCTTAAGAAAGGGGTGATCAGGTTCGGTTTTCTCAATCTTTATAGGATGATCATCAGAAGGGGTCGAGCGGGAAATTGGAAAACAAGGCTGGAAGCAAGTAAAGCAGTGTTGCAGGTCATCCGCCTCTTTTTTCTCCTGAACATTTTTTCCGTGATTGGAACTGGAGTAGGAGGGGTTGGCAAAGTCATATAGTTCTTGAAGAAGAGGATAAGGAAGCTGATTTTCAAAGAGTATCAGGTCCTGCTCGACAGCTTTCCTCAGCAATGACGATCTCAAAATGTAATAATTTTCATGCTTACGGTTTGACAGTTCCTCAAAAAGAGTTCAAGGATGAAGCAGGCATCAATTAGAATTACCTTCACAAAGTCAATATCAGGCTCAATGGCCCCTCCATAACAACGAAGAATGTCTTCTTCTTTCTCACGGATGAAGTTCTCTAGTTCCTCCTTTTCCCTCCAAGTTCGTTGGCAGAAATTCTCATAATATTTCATTTATGTCTTTCCATATCCCTCAGTTTCGGATTGCCATGGTGGAAGGGGCCTATTGAAATCAATTGAGGAGTGTATGCTTCATCTTTTACATTCCGGAGTTTGCTAGGAATCCGGTAGATACACCACTGCTTCGAGAATTTAACAGGATCGTTGCATTTTTTTTTCACTCTGATCAGTTTTCTTCGCCATTTGTAAAGCCATCATCTTTGTCCTAGTGACCACAAGAATAAAACAGTGTTTTATTGGTTGCAAAAGTGACTGCAATTAAATTTTCCAGCAAAGCATCTAGCAAAGGATTCACAAATTAATATGTAAATGATATGGCACGTGAAATGATAGTTCTTTAGTTTGAATAAATAGGCGAGGGTAAAATTCAAATGCTTCAACCTTAAATGGTACAAAGCTATATCATCACCTTGCAGTTTAGTTTAATGATGATAATGTGTATTTTTTAGATATGTGTTCAAGGATTTTTTGTACAAAGGATTCGATCATCTAAAGTATTTGGTGCTAGAAACTACTTAATATCTCAAGATCCAAAGAGTACAAAGCGAAAGGTTGCAATAACAAAATATATAAATCCAAGAAAAAGATTAAAAAAAACAAAACAAAACAAAACAAAATATTCACTAGCTGCATCAGAATTCGTTCTGTATTCTATATACTAGATATATCATATACCCTCAACATATATGAAAATAGAAACAAATTAAAATGTAGCAAAATCAATGGATCGGAGTAAAGAACCTGCTGCAAGTTTCGATTATGCTGAAAACGGAAACAGCAGGTATCTTACAGTTGCTCAACTCAGAAGTTCTTGAGTACTACTCGATCACCACAATCTTATTCTTGTAGGCTTTCAATCGATCGTTCTACTATATTTATATTGATCACAGGGAAGTTGAGCAAGGACGTGGAAGAAGATGCAGCATGCAAGTGTAAATTAATTTAAGTTAAACCAAGACTAAAAGAAGAGGGAATTTAAAGGTTTTATTTAATTGAACTTAAACAAAGACTGGCGTTAAGTAAACTAACCACGTTCAAATTTTGAGAGTTTTCCACAAAACACTCATGCACGTGCAAATAAACGTATCTCAAGCTCCATGTTTTTGGCCAAGTAGGCTAAAGAAAGGATTTTTTGGTCCTTCTTCTCTTGAGATGAGTAGGTGCGCCATCACCAAGCCACTTTATGGCTTGGATGGAAAGATTGTGTGATAATGTTTGCGCTTTTGACTTCTAGTCAAACGATTGATCGGCCAAGTAAGGAACCTCTTCTTGGCCTAGGTTCTTTCACTTCCTCGGGGTCAAGGATGATTGAGCTTTGTATGACTACTTTTAGGATTTTGGTGATAAGTGCAATGAATGTAAATGCAAGAACGAAATGACAGTAATGTAAATGCGATAAAATAGATTAAAGCGGTAAAGACTTGAATTAAACTTGAATTTAAAAACACATGAAAGTAAATTGCAAGAAAGTAAGCTTACACTAGGAAAATGAAGAACTTGGATAATCTAAAGTGCTTGAAAGATAAAATCCTAGACTAGGATTTGAAAGGTACAGGATAAAAAGATAGGTTTTTTGACAGGACCCGCCCCGGAATTTCTCCCGAAACCGGGGCGGACCCCGTATTGTTGCCGACATCACACCGATGCCGTGCCCATTTACTAAAAACCCAAGACATCCTACCAAAATTTTGGCAGAGTCTCCCCTGTAAGATGCTCAAACCCAACAACATTCAACCTGCATAATTTACATAATATAAATCCCAACTGCCAGCATGCTTTTAACATACATCAATCCAAAGTAAAGTGGCCTCCGGCCTCAAGTAACAACCTAACATGGGCGATAACAGAGCATCTAACAGAATTTGTTTACAACAACAGTAGAGTAGAAGGAATTTACACGAGTCCTATCTACAGATGAAATGTTTGGAGCTCGCAACTTGCTTGAGCGCTTCCAAAAGCCACTACTGCCTGGGGGGCGCAAAACGGAAATATGTGAGTGGACAAAAATAAAGTTTGCATTTAAAACAACATAGTAACCCCACCATGTAAAAATAATGCTCAAGCATGCAGTCTCCACATCCATAAATCAAATACTCAAACATAAAATCTCAAAGTCCAATAACTCTCAAAAATCTCAAACCACAACTCCATTCTCACAAGTATGCAACTCTCACCAACCCATACATATGTATACATATATAAGTATATATATCTATAATATAACGTATACTTCTCTCCATACTAATGTACCGGGGAAGACAATCCAACCGGGGGATTGTTGGCTGGTACGCAGGATTTTCGAACATGAACCCGCGTCCAGGGATGAGTAGTCCAACCGGGGGACGGAACTCCATAGCTCACACGCCGGCACTGCCAACGCCACGTGTAGCTCACAAATCTCATATCAAGTCCTACGCGCGCAGACAGTATCATCACCACACCGGCACTGCCAACGCCATGTGTGATGATACTAAGCAATATACATACTCTTCCCATACACCGGCACTGCCAACGCCATGTATGAGAACAGCAATCTCATGACCTTCCCACCACACCGGCACTGCCAACGCCATGTGTGGGAAGCCTAGTAACCAGGGAATGGTACTCACCTAACATACTCATACATCTCACAACCATCCCTCAAACTCATATCTTTCCACAATCTCATAACAACAACTCCTCATACTCCATACATAGCACAATCTCACAACATCAACTCCTCATACTCTATACATAGCAATATAGATAGACATCCCAAAATCCATATAAACATATCCATAATACTCAAACATAGCCATACTCAAAATATATTGCCAATACGTATATGAATATCCAAAGTCATCAACCAAATACTTAATAAATCACATTTCCATTTAAAACATATGCACAAATCTTTTATCAATAAAACCATGCAAATGCTTGAAAACAAAGTCCACTCACAGGTAATCCCACGCTGCCCGGCCCCGAGAGGGTCCTGCCTGCTGCAAACGATCGACCGAAGTACCTATTTCGAGATACGAACTCTTGATTAATATAATACACTTCGAAACGGGAATTCACAAAAGAGAATACTTAAATCCCCAAGATCCCGGTGCGTGTACGTCCAATAGGATATCCTAAGGTCCGGTTACAAGTTTGGGAATCGCTTCCCATCATACGGTTATCGTTAATCCCACAAACTTTGAATTATTGAATCGGAACATCCGGGGCTCCGATTCACGATCCACGAATTCCTATAGTATTCTAAGAGTACCTAAATCAACATACTTCAATTTGGAAACAATCCAACGGTTAGAACTTATCGAACCCGAATAACGCACAATATGCGAAATCCGTTCGATAGTCAAACGACATCCATATTGAGATCCGTAAAATCCTACGCACTCGTGACAACCTACTGATCTCATCAGGATAAAAAGCAACTTCAACAGCCTTGCCCACGCGCCGCCACACGCGCCGGCAGCGCGTGGGTGTGTAGAGGAATTTCCGGCGACGGAAAATCTCCACACCAACACTCACCCTTCCTACCCTAGCTTCTTCTCAAGGTCAGGATCACTTTATTCAACTACCACGAGGTCCAATTCGCACGGGAACTGGCCGGAATTTCAAATTGAAAACCGGCCAAAACCTAGGTTTCCAATTCGGTTCCAAAACTCAAAATCGATCCAAACCTACCCCAAAAACAGCTAGAGCATACGGAGAGGGTTCGAAAACATACCAAACTCGACGGAAAAACTGGCCGGAATCGCTGCGCTGTCGTGGTGAAAACCGGGAGAAAAACCAGTCGATATCGTGGCCGGATTTCAAGCTTTCCGGTCGGGATAACAGGTGGGTTTTGATCGGGACTTCACGACGAGTCGAACGGGACTGGTCTCGAGGACTGAGGTGGACTGTGGCGGCGGCGGCACGGTGGTTTCCGTTCGGTTTGCACAGTGACGGGGGAGAACTATCGCACGCAGAGGGAGGAGACGCGGGAGAGAGAGAGAGAGAGTGAGGGGTAAATGTGAAAAATCTGATTTTACCCCAAACTTACTTCGAAATAATTACGGTTCCGCCACCGAACTTATTTTGATTGCCAAAACTTCATTAAATCTCCGATTCAAGCCTACCGCCTGTCTACGGTTTCGTCTCAGTACCACCTACGCAACCAAACCACTCGTGGTCCCGAAATCCTTCTGGATAAGAAAATGACCAAAATTACCCTTAACCCAAGAGTAAATTAATAATTCTCTTAATTTAATTAAAATATGAATAAATTTGGAGTCGGGGTGTTACATTTTTTGTGTTGAGTCGGAGGTCCTTTCCTCTTCTTCTGAGGAGATATTTATAGAGCTTTCTTCAGCTAATGGGCATGGCCATTAAATGGCCTCAACTGGCTTTTCCTTTAAAATCCCTTCAAGATTAATGTCTTCCAGAGCTCTATGCATTTAATGAGAAATTTAATGAGAATTTCCCAACCACCACCAACCCATATGGTTGGTAAATAAAATTGAATTGGGATTGTAAAACTCTTCTCTTGATTTGAGATGCAATAAGTCTTGGTAGTTGGCTACAAGTCTTCCCATTTTTTGAATTCTACCACTTGCAAGGAGACTTATGCTGGAACTTCTAAAGTTAGCTTCTAGGGTTGGGTTTGGATTTCTGTGTGTATGATTCGACCTCTGGTGAGACGTCATGCACTTGGAGCTTCTGACTTGGTTGAGAATCCCATCAATGTGATATGAGAAAGAACACGGAAAAGGCCACTTTGGAAAATGCCGGATGTGAGAGGCGAGGTGTGTGAGGCCACAAATTCTTATCAATAATTCACATACTAAGTATGTCAATGTGAACGCTTGACCTTTTGCTCCCACGTGTAGCACGCTAAGAGGTCTAGGTCTATTCTTTATCTCATAAGGCCATACAATATAATATATAGGCCAAAAGTCACTTTTGGTCCTTGTAGTTTGGCATTTCAACTATTTTTGACCTTGTAGTTTCAATTTCGTCACTTTTGACCATGTAGTTTCATATTTGTAGTAATTTAAGGACAAGATAAAATTCCTGTTAATGTCTTTAAAGGAGCAACCATGTGGAGGGGCAATTTTGTCAGACAAAACCTCACGCTAAAAGCTGGTCTCTACATCTTCCCTAAGGCGCGAATATGAGCAACCAAAATCTCAAAATCCTTTCTTCACTATCCCAAATTCCCAGCACCTAACCAATCTCTATCTCCTCTATCCCTTTCTCTCTCCCTACAGATTCAATCTTCCAAATAACAAATTTCTCTTCCTCCTTTCTCAACTCCCTCCACCATTCTCCACCTCACACCCACCCCCACTCAGCAACTATAGCAACTATAGCAATTGAAGGAGATAGTGGCTGCTTTGAAAATGAAGTACAAAAGTGTAAAATCAACAAGTTCTTGTTTCGATGGTTGGAGGCTTTGCTGGTGATGTATTTTTACTTATGGTTTCTTTGGCTTTGGCTTTAGTTGCTATCGTTTGGTGGTTCTGTTTTGTATTTATGTAGGATCGCTTATTCCTACATAAATATCTAATATCTAATACTATTAACCTAATTGCTCAAAAAGAAAAAGAAAAACTTCCACATTTCTGCAATGTAATCGTAGTTTGACATAACATTTATGCATAGGTCATCCCTTCTAGAACCAGTGCCATGACCATGTAAGCAACTTGTGGCTACCATCATCTAAAATAATTTTTGTCTTATTCAACATGTATACTTTTGTTTTTACTGAGTATTCTTTTAAGTTGTTACACTTTGTACTATGCGAACAAGGTAGATGACAAAATTGCTGCACTTGTTTTTTACTAAATATATATTCTTCTGTTCATAATGGTTTACAAAATAGATGAACAACTTTGGTACAAATTGAAACGTTTGGAGTATACGTTGAAAACTAAATATAGGTCAGTTTGATATAACTTGAAGATTAGAAGTTCATATTTTAAGGATTTGTGTTTGTTTCCTGTGACATCCAATGTCATGGATTGGTATAGACAGAAATATGTCACTTAAGCGGGAAAGTGTGTAATTATTTTGAGCTGGTGTTTGATTGAATGGTAGTCTTTCCTTCTCTTTTTAGTATTTATTTTATTTTTAATAAGTCTGTTAATGGTGGTCTTACTATTACTGAAGAGTTGTTTGTGTGCATGGTAAAGACGCTATAAGGCAGTATAACATTTAGAATCCAGTTCAAGGGGTTTCTGCTGAGTGAGTTGAGCTGGAGCTATCTGAGTTAGAGGATTGCTGACGTAACGTGCAATGCTACATGTTGTGAGCAATCAGAGGCAATAACGATCGGGTGGGTGTGTGTGTGGAGATGATATTTGAGCTTTACTATTGTCAGGCTGTGTGCAACACTGCATATAAGTTTCATTGCAGAGGCTGTGACAGCTTGGAGAGGGCTGGCTGAAGATTGAGGTCGAGTCCATTGTAACGTTCTCATAGACGTTTGGAGTGGTCTGCGTATGGATGCCGCGTTGGAAAAGAGCATCTTTAACGAAATTGCTTGTAGGCGGTATAAAGTTGCTCATGATGTAGCATCTTGAAATGGTAAAAATATTGTAAGCTCCTGGGTGGATTGTAAATCCTCCTTACTGGCTGGTTAATGCCTCGATTAAGCTTGAAATTGTACCTAAGCCTTCATATATTTCCGTATTTAATGAACTCCTATCGGTTTGCCATTAGAAAAAAAGCAAGAGAATTTTATAAGAGGTCGAGTTAGATCAACTAGCTCTTAGTTTCATGGCACACTACAAGAAAACTAGGTATTTACGGCGTGTGATGTGTGCCGTAAATGACAATTCACGGCGTGTTGCTGCATGCCATAAAAGGCCTTGTCGTAAAATGTAACCCGGTCCTAAATAAATGTTTAATTATTAATTAAACATGATAAAAGACCATTTTGCCCCTAGAATATTTTATTAGGTTTAAAGTTGACTTTTTGACCAGGAAGGAATTTGGGAATTTTTGATAGTACCTTTGCATAGAGCGGGGCCAGATGAGTCCGTAGACATGTAGTGAGCTCGAATCGGAGTTGTAATGAAAGAGATACGATCAAAATACCTTTAGTGGCATAACCGTAATTTGGCGAAAAGGGTTTGATAAAATCTGATTTTTTTTCTCTCTTTCTCCCCCTCTCCCTCCTTTCTTGCGACGGTTGTAACAGCTGGCCACGTTTTGGCCGGCCGTGCTCTCGTCCAGCCACCAAAGTTGACGAGGTCGGTACCAAAATGACCGGGCCGCCATCCTCTTCCAACCCCAGCCAGGCCCCACCTCTAGCCGCCGTGATTTCGCCGAAAAAAAAAGGAGAAACACCCGGTTTCGCTTGAAACTTCGCCGGCTTCGATCTATCTCCTCTGGTGGCCATTTTTGGCTATCCAGGTATGGAAATCCATCTATTCCTCGAGCTCTAGTTGATGGTTGGGTAGGATTTCATTAATTTTGAGTTTAGATTGTCTGATTTTCTATTTAGGGTTCGGCCAGTTTTGGGATAGCGATTCCGGCCATTTCCGGTTAGTTTTTGGGGTATGCCCAAGAACAAAAGTGACTCCAAATAGAGTGTTACATATAGGGTAGGAGTCTTGAGCCGTGATTTTGGGTTTTTCCAGCGATGGGTAATCGCTTTGGACACCCATGTGTTGCCGGCGCGTGTGGCGACGCGAGGGCACTATAGAAAAGGGCATTGTGTCCCGATGTAATCTCCTAGTTTTCACGAGTGCGTAGGTGTGCTCGGATTTCAATTTGGATACCGTTTGAGTCTCGAACGGATATCGCCTATTACGCGTTATCCAAGTCCTGTCAATTGGTATCAGAGCTTTGGGTTCAATTTCCTGTGGACCCCGCACCTTGTGTGCATCCTTAAGTTTTGGGTATATTTGCGATGCTGAGGACTCTTTGACATTGTTGGATTTAGAGTATTGATGATTACACTTAGGGGTGTCACGTTTCTAGAAACGTGTCTATCCAAATTTTCGTATCTCAATATCATATGGAAGGAAAGCTAAAGAGCTGAAAGTATTGAATCTACTGAGACGAGATAAAATTGTTAGGAGTTTTCAAAAGTCAAATTACTTTATGAAAGAAATTACCTGGGGCGAAATTATTAGAGAAAGTTGATGGACAAGTTACATGGGAGTGGAGGAGTTGTGAGTCCGACCAAGGAGGGTCGTGACAAATCAAATTGAGAAGTAATGGTGTTGGGTGAAGTATCATTTCACTCGTGTGGGCTTGAATGCCGTGATTGACAGGAGTGGAACATTATGGTTCTTCTTCCCTGCTATCTTACGCAGTGAATTTTAACTCAAAAATTTCTTGGAATTCCAGCCACTATGAGTTTGACCGGTGACTTGGGTTACTTCTGCCCATCTTTCTAGAAATGGAACCAAGTTGAGAAGAGGAAGAGGAAAGATACATATGCCGATGAGGCAGAAGTAGAGCCGGAGCTTTACCACAGATAGTGGTTATTTCAGAAGTCTGGAAGATTGTGAATAGGAACTAGAAGTTTTGCATGGGACAACACCGGTACCTATTGTATAGTTGGATGTTTCTAAGATGAAGTCGTTTGCTGAGTTCTTATAGGCTGGAGGACATGGAGTTGATCAATCTGCGTCTAGAGATCCTCCATTGCCTGAACATGTTGCTAATTTTTGATTGTGTGCCTTGAGCATTGAGTTGAAGATACTAAGAGCTCAACCTTCCTGTGAGAGAGAATTCCTGAAGATTGAATCACTAGTTTCATGATCTGAAGAACGAATTTAGTATAATCGAAATTACAAGTGTGGAAAATATTAGGATAGCCGTACTTCTCTTACAGAAGGAAACTCCTCATCCTCTGCTTGTCTAGCCCGACCATTGGGCTCTGCTAGCAACATGGTAGCAATTTTTCTTGAATTTCAAGGCTCTTCAAGGACTAAACATAGGAACTATTTGTCACACTTGAGTGAGTTGTGAACTTGGCTTTTGTAGCGCGTGGTGAACTTTATGTTTCGAGTTGTAAGGCGATTGGAGTTGCTTATAACCATGATGAGATGGATGATGATTACAATTCGGTAAAAATGACATTCCTCCCAAAGAATCGTGTGGGCAATGTCGCTTGCCGATTCTAAAGAAAGAAGGAAAATATCAAGAAGTTAAAGAACGTGGATTCCTTTTAGGGGGAGAGCTAGAAGAGAATCAAATCACAAATGGAAGCGTTTAGCTTTCAGAGGAAGATTAAGCATTACAACAGCTATTAAAGGATACTCTTAGTTGGAGAAGGAGACTTCTCTTTCTCTGTTTGTTTAGCTAGAGCTTTTGGCTTGGCTGCTAACATGGTTATGGAGGAAGAACTTGGACAACCGAGTAGTGGATGCGGGCTCAGTACCTATCCCCCCTTCGAGTGACAGGTACAGAATTTCGAGGAAGAAATTTTTATAAGGGGGGTAGATTGTAACGACCCGGTCTTAAATAAATGTTTATTATTAATTAAACATGATAAAAGACCATTTTGCCCATAGAATATTTTATGAGGTTTAAAGTTGACTTTTTGATCGGGAAGGAAGTTGGGAATTTTTGACAGTACCATTGCGTAGAGTGCGGCGAGATGAGTCCATAGACACGTAGTGGGCTCGAATCGGAGTTGTAACGAGAGAGATACGATCAAAATACCCTCAGCGGCATAACCGTAATTTGGCGAAAAGGGTTTGATAAAATCTGTTTTTTTTTTTTTTTTTTTTTTTCTCTCTCTCTCTCTCTCTCTCGCAGCCTATCTCTCTCCTTTCTCGCGACGGTCGTAACAGCCGGCCACGTTTTGGCTGGCCGTGCTCTCGTCCAGCCACCAAAGTTGGCGGTGCTGGTACCAAAATAACCGGGCCGCCATCTTCTTCTAACCCCAGCCAGGCCCCGCCTCCAGCCGCGGTGATTTCGCCAGAAAAATGAAGAGAAACGCCCGGTTTCGTTCTAAACTTCGCTGGCTTCAATCTCTCTCCTCTGGCCACCATTTTTGGCGATCTAGGTACGGAAATCCATCTATTCCTCGAGCTCTAGCTGATAGCTGGGTAGGATTTCATTAATTTTGAGTTTAGATTGTCTGATTTTCGAGTTAGGGTTCAGCCGATTTTGGGATAGCGATTCTGGCCACTTCCGGTCAGTTTTTGGGGTATGCCCAAGAACAAAAGTGACTCCAAATAGGGTGTTACACCTAGGGTAGGAGTCTTGAGTCGTGATTTTGAGTTTTGCCGGCGATGGGTTATCGCTTTGGACACCCACGCGCTGCTGGCACGTGTGGCGGCGCGTGGGCACTGTAGAAAAGCAGCGCGTGGCGGCGCGTGGGCACTGTAGAAAAGGGCATTGTGTCCCGATGTAATCTCCTAGTCCTCACGAGTGCGTAGGTGTGCTCGGATTTCAATTTGGATACCGTTTGAGTCTCAAACGGATATCGCCAATTACACGTTATCCTAGTCCTGTCATAAAAAGTATTTTTCTTTTATGGCGTGCATTCGCTTGCCGCAAGGGTTAATAATGCACGCCATGATTGAGTTTTTGTAAAAGTTTGGACAACTATTTACGGCATTCCCTACACGCCATAAAAGAATTATTACGACATTCAATGCACGCCATAAAAGAGGGTTTTTATTCCCATTTAAGGCATGTTTTGCACGCCGTGTTTGACTTTTTTTTTAATAAAAAAAAAATTAATTACCTCCCTACACTTGTTTCATAGTAACAAAATACTTATATCTTTTATTATCCTAGAAAAAAAACCAATAGTATTGCAACCAAACTTAAAAAGAAAACTTATACCAATCATAATCAATTCCAATTACAAACTCTTCAGAGAATAAAAGAAACACATAAAAGTGTTGCCAAACCTACAATTAACTTGTTCACAATCTCTCCAACCCATTCACTCATGAATATAATAACAAAAATCAATTTCTAACATATCAAACCACATCTAACCTATGCTCAACTGTGCAGCAGGGCTACCATCAGCTGGTTGTCCAATTATCCAGTCATGTTTTTGATGTTGCTTCCAAATATCCTGTCAGCAACAGATCCATAAACTCCAATTTTTCTGGTATTATGATTAGGTAGTTGTGTGTGCAAATTAAGTTTACCTTGACATTCATCAATTGAACCACCAACTTATGTTTTGACATGAGCTTTTAGAATTGGTTAAGATAAGCGAACCGGCAGCTGACCTTGAACCACAAGCCAAAGGTCTTATCACAGTTTCCATCATTACAAGTTCATCTGCCTCTATAAATAATAAGGGTCTGCCTCAGAAGAAGAGGACTCTCTCTCCAAAACTAGACGCAACGTCTCAAAAAACACTCTAAAAAACAAAACAATCTGCATACTTTTTCTAGATAATCAATTGACAACTCCTGCGCTTATCTTTCGTAGCTCTGTCATATCCATTGGTCTTGCTTTATTGCCTATTTAGGTATTGCTCGTACTTGTCAAGGCGATATTCATGAAGGAAAGAATATTGAAGTCCTCTTAATCGAGGCATAGAAAAGAATCAATCCAGGCTAGTACCCCCCCTGGAGCACGATGGCTTGGTAAGAAGTCCAGAAAAAAGGCGCAAGCTTCTTCAGCATTAATCACCCACTTTCATACCAGATCTATTGGGCTGGTCATATACCCAATAGTGGCACGCCTAAGCAAGCACAAGGATCAGTACTGAGAAGAATATTGACAACCAGGGCCTCGATTGGGCCCGAATGCTCTCCGATAAACTGATTCAACTTTCAATTTTGTTCAGAAGTTGAAAGAATTCTCGCTGCAAGCCAAAAGATACCATCCGATTGGGGCATTGGTGTTGATCCAACAATTCCTCCTCGTCCCTCAGAGCAGAACTGACCCCTGAAGTTGGTGAAAGGATGAGAAGACGGAAAAAAGGATCAATAGAATGATCCTTGGAAGGAATCCACCAGCAGCAAGGCAAGCAGTGTGGCAAGTCATGATTGGTACTGCTCTGTCTATCAGCCTGTTCTTGTATTTAATGAACTCCTATTGGTTTGCCATTAGAAAAAAGCAAGAGTATTTTATAAGAGGTCAAGTTAGATCAACTTTCATGGTAGTTTTCTTCTTAATGTTGAAAGAGTTCCCAAGTATATCCAATCTCTTGTTGATTTTAAAAAGGGTAAGCTACTATTTGAACGAAATTTATTTTGAACTATATACAATCCATGGTAAAAGATTGAAGCAAAGTAAATGGTATTAGTGGCCCTCAAAAAAATATATATCACCCGGAAAAAGCTCAAGGCAGCAGGGTTGAAGTTTAGGCCAATTGAAGATGTAACCTTTGTCATAAAAAGGGATGATCAGGTCTGTAATTATAGTAATTATTAGTTCAACTTAACATGTTTTAGAAACATGGAC